CTAAATCTGCTTGCGACTTTTCAAATTGCGCTTGTTGCTGTCGCAGTCGAGCTTGCACTTGTTGGAAACTGACTGCCATGATTGGGTTTCGAATTCAAGATGCTCCGTCGCCACTGTTGTTTTTCTTCACCTTCCCTGATGCTGCCGGATTACAGTTAGAAGACAAGATGGCGGTCAGGAAAACTGTGCATTAATACAAAACAGCTTTCCATTTATATCAATCACTTGTGACCACATAAAGTTCAATGTTTTGACAAAAACCTCAAATGTTCTATTTGTACAGATAAATCTTATAACATTTTTGATAGTCTTTCCGGAGAAATGTCTTGAATAGAGAAAGTGTTTCATGACTTTCCTTCCAGGGGCTCTTGAAACTCTAGGGTTTAAAACACTGATGTAGCGTGCAGTTGACATGGTATAAAAACCCACAACAAGCAATCATTCAGTGGAACAGCAGGAGTCGAGTTTAATGGAAAGCGTTCATTCCTAATGCACAAAAGTCAACAAGTTAAGACGATGTACGATAACACTTTCAACTACAACCTGCGCTTCAGTACACTCGAAAAACAATGCAATGATTTCGTACCCCAGAAATTAAATCCATTCCTGTAGGGTTTGGTGCTTGATTAAAGAGTAAGATCCAGCGAAACCTCTGAACAGCTGTCACCCCAAAATTTAGAAGCAGTGTCGCGTTTTGAAAAATGCTTGAATTTATCAAATATTGTCCCGAATAAAACTTGAGACATCACTTTTGCAGCCCTTTACCTGAAGACCACTGTAAACGGGAATCCAGCTACTACTGCACTAATTCTTACGATAACGTCGTGCTAAGCTGCTACTGAGTGTACAAGTGAGTGTACAGCTTAGTTCCCAAGGTCTACGCCTGCCTGATAAGACCCAAGAAGAGCAAAACCTGTCGAGAGCCATTAAAGAGCCTTCATCGACCTTATACGTGGTTATGTATAAACAAGCTTCACGTTCTTTTGAACCGCTTCAAAAATCCATAAACGTTAACCGATATAAAGCATGTTTCCATCAGGAATAGCTGGGATGTTTTACGGAGGTGAATGCACAAAAACTTCTTTTGGTAAGTTTGATCGATCGCCACCACATTTTACTAACTGGAATACACCTGTCCTCAGCTTATGAAAAACGCAGCAAGATGCATGTCAAACGACTGCTCGCCCGTTTTGAGTGGCAGATGGTATTGGATTTCTTATTTAGCGGTGACGAACATAACTATGTTTTGCAGGTTATCTTTTAGGTATCTTTTAGGCTTCGATGTAAAATACTGGGAGACAAGCCGCATAGCTAGTACATTGAGTTGCGAGACTGTAAAATTCGTGTTCAAGGTAGCTGAATTATTGATGTTCTATTGTGCAATATCCTGCCTACTGGTATTTAAAATTTGTGATTTAAATCGTCGATTATTATCATTCTCGTTGTCAATATGGAGTTTGACGAGCATGCATGTTTTCCGAAATTCACAGCTGGCTTATAGAACAAAGTTTCGTGATAGATTGAACAATTTGTATGAAAAAGTCCACCGGTTATCGCCTGGAACAATCAAAGAACAGATCGCAATCACTTAGAGTCTGCAAGAACATCGACACTTTGGTAATAGGGATTTCTAATTGTACAAAAACAGAACTGTCCTTCACAGTCCGTCCTGAGTATGTCATATTCTCCACACAGAGCAGTAGGGCTGGCAGCCTTACTCGAACACATATACAGGCAAATCTGCACATTCAGTTTACTGGACACAGCCGATTATACTGACTCACTCCTGGTGTCTCAGGTTTGTTCTTTTGATGCGGTTACCCAATTCAAAAAACTTTCCTCTGATAGATAACACAAACTGCTTATGTGATCCGATCACTGATGTTGAGACTGGATGTAACAGTACGAATTCGGTGCACTTTCAGCGAACACCTTGACTTCCGTGATATAGTTTTTTAAACAATAGAATGGAGTTGCTGGTGATTCATTAGTCAGACCTGCCTTATTCGATACCTACATAATAAAAAATGAACATTATACTCACCTTCCGATTAGTAGTCAATTTTTACTGTATCCACGCTACTCAAATAACACTATGCAATGACCACCGAAAATGACCTCAAACAATTAGCACTGCACATCCGCCCGTCCAGCTCACTGCACACCCGAAGGACCACTGAGATCTTAGGACAAAGATTCCACTGGGATAGGTTAATATGTGAACTTAACCAGTTTTGTCAGTATTCCGTACACACGAACAATTCTTTGCTATATGGCGGCTACAGCCAAAATTCTGGACTGGGAAATAAAAAAAATTAGCAACAGATTTGACATCCCATGTAGTTGGTTTGAAAGGATATGCAACCGGTACCAGTGGCGGAGCAAAATCTTATCATCAGAAAAAAGCCAGTGTAGTATAGCCCCCATTCAGAAGTGAGAACACTTCGGAATACACTACAGACCAGTTAAGGTGGTTACTCAGGAGGTTGTTTGCTGCTACTCAACTAAATCTTTCTTTTACAGTTCGTCAATATTTAGTGCTGTGTGTCCTTAACTTATCAACGAAAAACTACTCACTTGTTTATCCAGAGTCGGTTGAAATGGGCTTTAAGAAGCCCGAGCTCAAACCCACTCACTAAATTAGTATCGGCTACTGCGTTCTAGTTAATTGACCGGAAATAGTTCATTTGATGGTGTCGAACGCTCGCGAATCAATTGCTATCTCAATAGTGAGTATGGTTTACTTTGTGTCGAAAAGAATGAATCAACCAACTCAACCAGACTAGCGATCGCTTGACTAAACAAAAGCAAACACCCTGGAAACATCACAAAATATAGATTCAGCTGGGTTCCAGGTGAGTCTCTCGCAAGACCAAATTTGTTTTCAATTGAGTGTATTTCGTTAATTTCGTGCAGTTTGGTTTCAACTGGAACATAAGGCTGACGGAAACTCGGGGACTGCGCTCCAAGAAGAGCGAAACCGCTTGTGAGCTGTCGAAGAATTTTCAGCAACCTTATGAGTAGTGCATCAAGAAAAACAAACACCATTCTTTTCATCTGAATATTATTCACTCTTAAGCCATCTGATTATTGAACTTGTCTTTGAAGTTCTGTTTCTGTTTGTACCTGTTTATTAGGTTTCAGCTGCATGAGCTGGTTGAGACTTGTAGAAAACACATTCTCAGTTTAGGTCTATTGGATTCGTGTTTCTGTCATGCCAGTTGTTTATGAGAAGAGATTTTTCACATCTGAAATGCGATTTCTTTCTTCAAATTCTCTGGGGGAAAGTTACAAATCATAAAGCAAAACGTTGTTTTGGATGTACGGCTCTTCTAGCATATCCTTCAGCTTAAGCATTCTTTTAGAGCCTAGCTGTCATGCTATCTAAGGGAAGTACGAGGGATGTGAGACCGCCAGGTTGCTCAAGTCTAGACAGAATCGTTCGAGAAGCCGGGGTTAGTTTCGAAATTTAAACATTTCCTCCGGTAGATTCGCATTCTAACCAGTGAATTATCTCGAGCTCATGAGATAATATTGTATGCCAAGGAACGGCAAAAATATAACTGAAATGATCGCATCATACCTCCTGTTCAACCTCTGCGTCAGATGGATCAGACCTTGCGGATAGACTTTGTTTAACATACATATGGCAGCAGATCCAATTTAGAACTAAAGAAAAACTCAAGCCAAGTTTTGTAGGTAGTCAGGTATATCCGTAGAATTGTAGAATTGTACTGTAACGTAGGCTTCCAGCCGGGTCCTGCGCACTTCCTCGTGCCTTGTTCAGAGTTTTTAGCGGAAACTTCCACCGAGATTTTCAGAACGCTGCTCAGCAGCGTCCTCAACATACGTTCTTTGCAGTTAGTGCGTCATTCAAGTTTAAAAAACTTGAATAAAGTTGGTCAAACAACTTTCTTTAGAGACATTTATACTGGTTATATCAGATAATAAAAGCACTGAAATCGAGTCACACTCTTGTTGGAAATCATCAGCATACGTATCCGTGGTCATACTTGGGTTTAAGCACCGAAACTCCGACGTGCGAGACGAACGCATTACCTCGGCCTTACGAGCTTATTCAAGATTACCTTGAACTATCACGTCTGAGGTGTTTTTGGCTTTCGTTGATGGGTAGTGGTACAAAACCTGCCTCCCATGTCAGAGGTCAACTGGGCGAATACAACATGGTGAAGGATGTGCACTGCTAAGGAGAAATCTGAAGAGTAATATTTGAGTTCAGTGCTCCATGTGTTTGCCCCCCCTTCCGCAGGAGAAGAGGAGTGGTTTTCAGGTGCGAGTGGTGTAAACACAAACAGGCCTTTTTCATTACTTGGTGAAAGGACTGATTCTCAGAATCAGAACAGGCTACCATTCTATTAAAAAAACAACCTTTCACATTTCATAATTAGATAGAGTGTGATAAAGCAGGTGGCGAATCTTGGGGTTAGGCGTCCTCAAGAGAACCCCAAAGACGTGAGTGAGCAATTAAATAAAGAGTTCAAAACACGAGGGCTGTGTGCGTTTTCTGACTGAGCTTCATTTGCTATGACATGTAAGTTCCTGGATGCAATACTGAAACAAGTAACTATCATCTAATAGCCTTTTTTCATCTGAAAACAGCCATTTTTCCCTAGAAAGCCAGTAGATTTACATAAAAAAATCGACTTACAGTTTTATCAGCCATCAACATTCATTGTCTTTACGTCCATGAAAAATCCGAAAAATCACTCACAGTACCAGTTAATTCTGGTTTAAGTAATTGGTTTCTAATAGACTTTAGTCCACTGTCTGCGTCCACCTTCACTAGCTAGCAGCATCACAACTCAATAAACTGTGCACTTACCACGATGAGCTCGGTCACGTGGCCATGTTGTGCTGCGATCCCGTCTGAGTGCACGATCCGGTATAGAGACAATAATGGCGTCTTCGTTTTTTTGCCGTTGCCCATACTGTCTTGCGTACTGCAAACAATCGATTGACGAGCAAGTTCAAATGGTGCGCGCGTATGTCCGGGCGAGCAGTCGCGTATGACAGATTTGCGCCCTCAAAATTGAGCTGCGTCCAAACTGAGTTATCGTCGAGAATAGGTAGGTAAAGTTTTATCGGATCGTTGAACGGGTCTTGTTATGTTTAATTAAATCTGTGGTGCTCAGAATTTTGTTGCGAGGCCGTTTACAAGCAAGCGAAAAATTATCAGGAGCCACTTACTCTTTTTAGCTTCAATAGCGGTTTTATATAAACCTCTGTAACTAAAGCCTTACATAATACTCTGGGGGCACACCATTTTGTTAGTATGATTCTTCATACAGAATCTACACTAGACGGCTCCATTTGTGAAGCTGGGCATAAAGGATCAGGATTTACTTTAAAACAGCGATGGGGTAATACAAAAAATTGGAGTACATTTTGCCAGAACGAGCCGACTGGTTGGGTTCCATGAATCTAAAGGGCAGTATGTCAGTGAGGAAGGCATTTCCATGTTGAAGCATCTGTCCACATACACGCTGTTGTCATCACCGGGACTCACCAGACGGAATTAAAGAGATCGGGATGGTGCCACCTTGGTTGGCATTCACAGATCGCTTCCACAACATGGTAAATTTTCGTTAGGTCAACGTATTGGATTAAACCAGTGGAATTATCCAGGCAGTTGGACTCCTCTTGTCGCCGAGAAGTGTCGCAATATTCTGTCTACACTGTCAAAGGTAGTCTGCTATATTTGGAGCCAGTAAAACAAATGGCAATCGTATTCCTTATCGACTAATGGCAGTCGTATTCCTTATCGACTCTTTCTGCACTCTTCTCCATCTTTTTTTTCTGTCGGGTACTCTTTACGCAAAATCAGCTGGCTCTCATTAGACCTTGAATTTATTTGAAACTGTAGAGCTATCGCATGTAACACTGGCCATTCGTTTAGGTCTCCCCAATCCAATTATCTCACAAGGACTTCATGTTAAAGACCGTAAACCGACAAGGTTATTTGTGAGTTGACTTCTACCCCCACCGTCCTCTAGTTTCTTCAGTGCTCACGTTTTCTAACGTACGATCGGGCTAGCTACGCGCATCCTGGGATTACAGATGTGCTTGACGGAATCCTGGCATTCATTCAAAAAGGGACCGTTCAGCTAGGGTTCAGGGTCAATATAGTTAAACTCCAACTCGAATTCCCCTCGGTGACAAAATATCCAGGTAAATGTCATAGAGGCGCGATTTCTCAGGATCTAATCTATATGAGCCACTGACAGGTGTTTTCCTGCTCCAATCTTATTACACACCCACTATTGCTTTTAAATAAAATTATATAAATAGTTGAACGGACAAATAAATAAATAAGCCTCGATGTTCAACGGTGGTGTTGAAATCAGGTTTAGATAGTGTGATAGACGAAACCGTTATAAGACTCAACATACTACTGGTAAGATTACTGAAAAACCGGACAGCATATCCAGTCGAAGAGGATTACCATAAAAGAGAGATTTGGCTGGATTTAGTTGTAATTTCGGTCAGAACCAAAATGGTTTTCTGATAAGAGTATTTGACGAATCAGTTGTAGTAATTTTGAACAATGCATTAGTAGAAACAGTGGAAGGGCAATAGAAAAAGATCTAGTATTTATAATGTTTTACTGGCAATTAGCCCTCGGGAGAACACTTTTGAAAAGCAGTATACCCCTGAGTAATGTGCACCCCGAACCTGATGCCGGCGTTTTGATTCTCCGGCATTGTTTGGTACAAATTCACCAGGTAATTTCTGAAGAGCGAACTAGCTGCCCCGAGTAACGCATCAGATTCTCGTAGATAGCAAGTTAATGTGATACTCGCAGGATTTGTTTTACATCACCCAAGGTTAGGCTTATTCAGACGATAACTTATTACATCAGTAACTAAAACTTGTCAAAATGAATAACGTAGTCATGACCTCTCAAACGATATTTTGGTTTGAAAAACAAGTCGCAATACCAGTGCTATTGGTCTTTAGGTGGAAATGTAGGACAAAAGTTGAAAGTTGCCATTTATTCGGAAAATTAGTACATATAGACAGCCGGAGAGGTCTTCTAGTGAACGTCTTAGGTGTGTTGTTTATTGAATTCTAAAAATGTCGGTAGTGTGAAGAGATTTGAGGTTTTTCATTGAGCATTTCGTCCTGTAAGTGAATCCGAGCTATGCTGATGTGCCACTGCATAGCTAGCTCCTCTTTATTGGGAGCCATTCAGCAGTAGTCATCTTGCAGAACTCCAGTAGGGAGCTTTGAACCTTGCGGCTAGTATTTTCAACGCCCTCATAACCGAAAGGTCACGGATTCGAAACTCTACTACTACTGTCTACTGTACGTTCATGAGCTTCATACTGTTGATAATTTCCGATAAGGATCAAATAGCTGTACAGTGCTTTTCGGCTTTTCAGTTCAGGACATGCTAGATCTCCGGTAATGGATTCCAGGCTGTCAGTGGGAACAGCATTCGAATTAAAAACTCCTGTACTTGACTTTGTAGTGAGAATCATCGACAGTGTCACGGCTACTGACTGGAATTGAACCATGTTGCATTCAAATTTGAATAGCTCGATTGTTTCCATTTGGGGAGTCCACTGATAATAGAAGGCTGGAATTTAACGGCGGAGTTCCAAAACCCATGCATTTGAGAGTGAAAATAGAAGAGAGGCGAGTTATCCGACTTCGCGTGGAGACTGGGTGGAAGATACAGGTGAGATGAATGTTTGCGGAATACTGAAATAGCAGAATTGGATTCGAGTGGAATGGGCTTTGTTGATCCAACTGCGTGTAGTGATCTCTCCGATTTCGGAGCTCAGACAATAATTCTTCCTAGTCTCCAGCTTTTCAGTACGCTTTTTCAGTCAACCAGGAACTTAAAAAAACTCATTATTGGTTCTCGAAATTATTCAGTCACAGCCTTCGCATTCCACGGTTCCATACTGCCACCCGTGAAGGTCATATCACGGAAACAATTAGTTACCAATAGATATTTGTAATGTACTACTCATAAGGTTGCTGAAAATCCATCGACAGCCGACGACCGGTTTCGCCCTTCTTGGGGCTCATCAGGTAGGCGCAGTCCCCTGGTTTCCGTCAACCTTATGTTCTACTTGAAACCAAATTGCACGAAATTAGCGAATATACACTCATCTGCAAACTAATTTGGTTCTTTCGAGAGACTCATCTGGAACCCAGCTGAATCTCTCGTTTATGATGAGTCTCTCGGAAGAACTAAATTAGTTTGCAGATGAGTGCATATTCGCTAGCTACCAATAGTTTTGAATCTCCGTGGAGTAAGTCGAAACTAAAATGGAGTGAGCAACACATCATGAATAATCAGCATCATCATCATTGTCAGCTGTAATAACCACGTACGGGTCGTACAGTGGTTGTAGTTGCCACAGTTTCGTTCACCGATGATTTGGGGAGGTGAGGTAGGTAGCTGCGCATTGGAGGCGGGAGCTGATAAATTAGTGCGTAAATTCAGCACTGTAGGCGAATGCCACGGAAACGCAAGACCACATCGAAGATGACGGAGCTGATAAACAAAATGAAATACATGACATTACCCCGTGCATATGATTGCAGTCAAACCTGATCAGGTAACCATGGTGCCCGCAAACTGAAGTGCTGATCACCTGAACAATGCCAAAAACCAGTGCTTTTATCGTCACGTTCAGCAGTTGCGTGGTCTGATGGTCGAGACGCAACGGTTATAGGAGTTCAGAAGTTTTACAGCTAGAAAAATACAGCATTTTTCTGCGTCCAGAAAGTCCTCCAAAATTTTGACTGTCTCGTTTTTAGCATGCTTCTGAAAGGGAATGTGTTCACAAGTAAACCATTCACGCTGAACATTTCTTAAAGAGATGACGGGAAACTAGGCTGAAGTCCGACATTGTAAATTTTCATGAAGAAATCTAGTCATGCGTTTTCCGAAAATTCTTCAGCATCCCACGACCGCTTCCCCCTTTCTTGGGGCCCGTCAGGTCGACACAGCCACTGAAGTTCCCATCAGCCTTATGTTCTGGTTGAGCCAAAATAGCGCAGAATTCAACACATAATTTCATTTGAACACCAGTGTGGTTCTCAAGGGAGATTCATCTGAATCCCAGCCGAATCTCCGGTTCGAGATATTCTTGAACCGAGTGTGTTGTACTAAGAACCTTTCAGTTAGTACAATATTCGAGCTATCGTAGTACACTTGACTGAAGAATAACACAAACCAAAGATTCAGCTCGGATTTATATGAATCTATCGTGGAAACTAAACCGGTATTCAACTGAGTGTATTTGTCCAGTCCCGTAAACCTGTACAATTTTGGACAGACGATTCCGTAGTTTGCTCCCCCAAGATGCGTTCCTTCTTATAAACGTTCATTTGGACCACACCCAAAGTTATGAACTGCACTGAATGCGTTTGTTAGCTGGTCACATGATAATTTTCTCCGCCACAACGCTTTGAAATGTTAGGACAGTTTTGATCCCCACAAGTACACTTAGATGGACCCCATGACATTTAGTATTCAAAGCTTTGTTCTTTAAGACTGGGATTGCTATCTGCCTTTCTTAGTCTCATGACTTGTATTCTTCCTCACCGGTTCCCCTGCTTGTTCCTCCTCCCTCCAGGAACCCTGACGAAGGGGCATTACATTATTGTCAGCAAGCCTGTGCTCACAGTGAATTCCTAGGCAATGTCTAGGTTGGCCTTATGGTAAACAAGCACTTTGATATCTGCATCAACTACACCCAACAAATCTCAGAGAATTTTCCACTTCTTACGAATTAAGAATCAAGACTAATCTCGTACGAGAAAAATTGCTTTCCAAACTTGTACTTTGCGGTAACTTTATTACCCCTTTTTCCTTGATAAATGTTTTCTGGGTGATAAACTGAACTGAGCCGAGCACATTTTTTTCATGGGGTCTGCGCATTTGGCTTTGCATAGAGTTGGTATCTCCAGGAGTTTCATATTTTTTAGCCACAAGAACAAATAACAAAACTGATACCCCAAATTTCGATGGTGACACAGTAGGACACTAAAACCAATGGAGTGATGTCGTGACCACCGTGACAAACAAAGAGCCACGTAAATCGCTTTTGATTATTTTAAGGCAGCTGCGCTGAAAAGCCTTCAATATTGAGACACAATTAGGATGAAAACAGATATCTGAGTTTGCCTCAAAGGATTTGAGTGATACGATTGTAAATACTCAAAACTTCCAAAAAATCGAGAGAAGTTAAAAGAGATTCCAAGTTGGTTGGTGTTATATGTGCTGATCGCCAATCTGAGATATCTGCTGTTGACGCACTCCAGTGCCTAGTACCGGAGAAGAAAAGACTCACGGAAGGGAACACAACGGCTATGTTCGGAACAAGCGAGTGTGAGAGCGTGAGTGCGTTCGAGTGCGAGAAGTACAACAGTCTCAAGCTATTTTTGGTAAGGTGAGGAGGTTTGCTACTAGCCGGGAGGTCGCGGGTTCGAGACTCTTCGGAGTTTCGTGAGATGCGCACTGCTGATGATTCCCAATAAGGATGAAACAGCTGTACAGTGCTTCTCGGCTTTTCAGCATAGATTAGCTTCACTTACAGGACGAAATCCCATAAAAATCCCGAATCTCCTCACTCTACCAACAATATGTATGTAGCTCAGTGGAAGAATAAACTTCACCCGATGAGTGAAACTTCTATCTGAGAAGTCGTTGCTCGAGCAGCCAGTCAACTCATGTGACCGCGTGATGTGGATCCCATGAGTGAAAGATGAGCGGCGCTATATCCTGTCTAAGTGCGAGTTAATCACACTGCTGATCAGCCACTCGTGGTCGAACGGTTAAGTGTTCAAACTACTAGCCGGGAGGTCGCGGGTTCGAGACTCTTCGGAGTTTCGTGAGATGCGCACTGCTGATGATTCCCAATAAGGATGAAACAGCTGTACAGTGCTTCTTGGCTTTTCAGCATAGATTGGCTTCACGTACAGAACGAAATCCCACAAAAATCTCAAGCTATTTATTGGAAGGTCACTGTCTGAACTTAGTCCAATGCTGACGCACACGTTCTGGCTTTGGTACAAGGCTGTGTCCTGTTGCATGTTGCGGGAAGTTGTCTGATCTTGATCAACGCTGACTCACGCTGTTTGGGTTTGATAAAAGGCTGTGACACGCTGCATGTTGAGGGGGTGTTGTCTTTCTGATCAACATCTAGCGGAGCTGGGAGTCTCGGTAGATTTCGAGCATTCAGTGGTTGCTTTCAGGGAGCTGACTTTCTTGATATCTGGTTTATAGAAGAACCCTTCCAAACTATAATCAGAAGGTGATGCGTCAGGCAGACCGGATAAGATCATGAGGTTGAACAGGTTCCCCGTGGCACAGATGTTAGATTCTGGATCATTCTGTGGGGTAGTTGACGAGGACTACTGCATTTGTTGGGGTAAACTTTTTACCGTCTTCATACCAACTTCAAAGTACATTAAAATCTCTCTGTGAAGTAGGCTTCATGAAAAAGGACTATTCCGTTGGCTTCTGAAGACCTGCTGCAGTGGTAGATATTCCTGAATAGGAGACAAGCAGATGAAATGGTACTCTTGATCACTTTTTTGAAATCATCTCTCGAAAAACTTTGACTGAAAAATTGCTCTCTAATAAGATATTAGCGTGAATAAATATACTCATAGGGTTACTGAAAACTCGTTTATAGTATGATTCGATATCTGGAATGTCACGTTAAGAGAAGCTTAACTTCATATTTTTACAGCATACGCATTTAAAAACACAATAATCAAGAGATCCAGCTAAAATTCAGCTGTCTGCGTTCAGGAACAAATGAGTGCACTTTTGTTCAGTCGCTTAATGTGGGCCCTTCAGGCAAAAACCTGTACAGCGATGGTTCTCTCTAGAAAGACTCCACGAACAAGTGTTCTGCAATAGTTGGTCTATTCTGGAACACCGCTCCGATAAACGCCATAGTATAGGATGCAGACCACTTGTAGAGAACATTTTTATCTACAATTCTTATTTTTATGTTTTATTTTTCTGAAAAGAGATGGTCTCTCATCCGGCAAGAGATACCTGAACAACCGCTGCGTATTAAAGTTTCCTCAACGACGATTGTCACCTTGCCCGGTTGTTTGGGACAAAAATGGGTAAAATTTGAGCGTCGCTTCAAATCTTAGTTTTTTCTAAAAAATAAATCCATCATTCTGGTTAAAACTTCATGAGATTTGACGGTGAAAATCCATCCAAGATTGCGAAAGGCTGTGGTGACAATGTTTAAACGGGCCTTCGGTGAAGGGCTAAAGCAAGGCTCGCACAACAGGATAAGGTGTCGTTTTTAATCTTGGTCGAACGGAGATCTCAGCCTTCTGCGTTTACCAGCTTTTAAAAGAAGTAGTCGGCAAAAAACTGTGTTTAATGACCGCAGCCTGAAAGCAAAGCGTGTAGAAAACGCCTTTTTTGGAAAAGATATTAAAGATACACAGCGTTACGATTCAGTAAAACCTACACTACTAGCTACAGACAAGTGCGCGCTCGCACTGTGGAGTTCAATTTGTTGGTTCAACAGCCTTTGCGGGACATAGCAGATGTTTAATCGCCCTCCTTGCGCACTTCAACCAAAATAAAGGTATTTAAGAATGCTTAATGATCAATAACTTCTAGAACAGATGTATGACGAATAAGTATTTACGTTCACATCACTCTCCTTTGAATATTCCTTTCATTGTCATGGCGCAATCATCCTAATTGGTCCACACCAAACACTGGCCTCGAGTTCCGCCCTCTATCAGAGCTCATCAGGATTGCATGCATTTGGCTTAGTCTAGTATTTCCTTTCTTCAATGGAAACTCGTCTGAATAATTTGTCAGTCCAGTTCAAGCGAGAATGAAGCAACTGCAAACCCAACAGTCTCCGTAATCACCTACAGCGAATCTATTATAATTTAGTTTTATCAGCCTTATAAGTAGTATTCTATTGAAGTTATTCATGGTTCTTATGACTAGAAGTTTTTAAGTTGAGGGTATTAAACACCAGCCAATTTAAATTCTGAACATGTGGCTTTAATGTCATGTGGGTGATGTACACCAAAACTTCTTGACCTGCTGATAACATGGTGGCAAACACACCTCCATTCATCTTCTGTAGAAGTTGGGTCTCTGAATCGGTGTTCAAGCTCACTCACATCATCTCACCCCATGGTCGATACACAAATATTTTAAAGTTTGCAAACTGTTGTTCCCTTGAGTTTGACTGCATTAAGTCTGACTTGGCAGAAGGGTTTGAAAGAGATTCTGCATGGTTCAGGTTTTGTTGGTGTGGTCAACCTTCCAGAATGATGTCCTTGTGGACTCTCTGCACCTAGCTAAAGATTTTGGAGGAAACAGCGATTGTCAGTTTCTTTTCAGATGGTCTGATTGAACGCTTGGGTTCTTAGGTACCCTAGAACGCTTTTAATAGACCAGATCCTTCCATTTTGGGCTTAGTGGGCATCCGCAGCCTCTGAGTTTTGTTTTTGCCAACTTCAGGTTATACTCGAACCCAAATTATGCGAGATTTGCCAAATACATTTATTTGCACTTCAATTTGGCTTAAACGCAGATTTAACTTAATCCCGGCTTAATCTCCGATGTATGAATGTGTTGCATCAGACTGCCCCATGTTCCAGTTAGTAAGATATTACGATACACTGCATAGACGTAACACACTACTCATAAGGTTGCTTCAGAATATGATACGATATCCCGAATATCATACTAAATGAAACATAACGAGGACGGATTTTGCAGCGTACTCAGTTGATAATTCAGGGGCTTAGCTTAATCTGCATAAAAAACCTAATTGGCTTTCAGATGAATGCACTTCACGGTTGGATTTTCACGTTTGGCCGGATGTTTACCCCTTCGCATTATGTGAACTTTCTCCTTACTTAGTTGAGTCTATTTGTGCAACCCTTAGTGTTGACAGGCTCACTTACAGCATTCCATGATATTGTCTAATAGAGCCCGGTGAGTGTCGACGAAGAGGCGACATAAATGTATCAAAGCCTATGTGGCTGGTATTTTCTGCCCTTTGCTTTCGTAGCTGATATAAGGATTAAAATGTAATACCAGTGCTTGAAAAATTTGAAAACAACCTTTTAATTTTGATCCTGTGTGGTAGCATTAACTTGCGTGGTGCGTTGGCGATGTCGAATGTTTGAACGAATGAACTTCCGGTTTTGCGGGGACTTTACCAATACCATTTTGGTCATAACCGAATTGAACGTTTTTGTCTTCGAGTTACCTGAAGATTACCGTCACAATAACTACCTAAGAAAGTGCGTGAAAATAGTTCTAAGTTGTTTGCTTCGTGAAATAAATACTTATTCAGTATCCTCAAAATAACGCTGAATGGAAAATTCAAAGTGAACTGAATAATTCTTGGGCCGAATGGCCACTATGTACTGATTTCGCTGTGAAAGTGTCAGTTTGATATTAGTTTAAAAATTTAGTGCAGGTCTAAAGCGATTTACCTTCCTTCTTTTTCAGCAGCCCAGGTGTTTCAAGATGTGTAGCTGCACGTGCCGGATTGTGTTGTTCTGCGTCAACATCGCAGTTGGGGTGAGTTTAAAGGCCTAGCACTGATCTCAGTCCATGTGAGACACATCTGATGGTTGTAGGTAACGAAGTCCAGTCCGAATCCATTCTAGTTTGACAATTAATAGCTATTTGGCGTTCTTCGTGTGTGATACCGAATTACAGTAGGATGCGAGTCGTCTTCAGCATTTTGACAACCACTGTCTCAGGAACGCTGCTGATGTCGGATGGCGTCTACGAAATTGTAACGAGATAATTAGAAAGCAGGTATTTCGTTGCCCCACACGTGGTTCAGTCACGGAAGACGTTCAGCAACATCCACTGCGACGATATGTCAGCCATATAGATTGTTGAAATTTTGAGCAGATTAGTGGAGCTTTAATGGAACTTTCATCTGGAGGATTTCCAGTGAAACAGCTATCCACTGCAGCTGGTCAGTATAAATTAGGTTGATGGATGGGACCTAAGATCCGAATTCGCTCACATTACCATTAATTTATGTGTAGCTCAGATGAAGAATAAAGTTCACCGGATAGGAGTACAACTGCTGAGAATTTGTCACCGAGGAGACAGTCAACACATGTGACTAACTGATTTGGATCCCACAACTGAAGAATGAGTGGCACTATGTCCTGACCAAGTGTGGGCTAATAACACTGGTGGTCAGACACTCACGGCCAAACAATTAAGTGTTCAAAATACTAGCCGAGCGATCGCCGATCCGAATCATTCTACTGGAGTTTCGTGAGATGCACCCTGTTGACAATCATCAGCAGGGCAGTTAGGCACCATTCTCAACACTGACGTCGATACCTCTGGTAATTAAAATGACAAAGACAGTATGTAATCTCATCGCTGGGGCTTCATACTTTATGCTCATAATGTGAAGAAATTTTGTGCCATCTGTTGAATTTTTCTCTCATTTACACACACACACACACGAATGACCGAACACTGGCATTAATCAGCAGTGAATTGCAGAAACCCGTCAGTCACTGTCTGGCCAACATTGTTTCTATCCCTTATTTATATTAGTTGCATGCTATACTTCCGCAAGTAACGACAGCAGACGAAATTTGAACAAGGATGCTTTTGGTTGGCTTTTTCGTTAGTGGCGCTTCAAAGGCGTCACGTGAATTCGGATATTGATATTATGAACGTATAACACATCAACTGGGAGTTTCGTGAGGAATGTGCTGTGTGCTGACCTCATGGCGAGCACCAAACAAAAATACTTCGTCAGGAGGTAGATGGCATCTAGCTTGTCATGATTGACTTGTAGCCCAATAATCATATTATGCATGGTTAAGACCAAAACGTAGACCTCAACAGAATGGAAACGGCTGCCCAGTCATGCATAAAACAGTTTTCAAAAACGATGGAGTACTCTGAAACAGGGTGATTAGACCGATACCATGATAACAGTCATGCCAGCCATCCTAATCTTCCACATGGACAAGACTACTTCAAAGTCCTTTCCATGTCCATGTTTCGCCTTCTCTTCACAAAAAGGCTTTCAAATAAATCATGTTCGTGCGCAGTGAGTCATCGGTGTTGAACACTGATGTCATGCTATCGATGATGATGACGACAATCAGAGTTCCCATTCATGACGCCGGGTCGTTTTACACGAACTTTGCACCACGCACCCAGCTTCTTGATCACGTGATGGAACATGTTGCGTGAGGCTGAGCGAATGTGAAATCGAAACAAACGATTGGGAATTGACTTGGTATGGTTGATCATTAGAATAAAGTATGATGGTACGCATGCAGTTAAACGAAGACACCCATCAAAGCCATAATTAGAGCGAAATAATTTGACAGGGTATGTGCTATGTAGCCAGTACCAAATGGATAAGCATATGAAGTACGTAAATTATATTCACTTTCAACATCACAATCATTATCAGCTGTAAGATCGGCGTACTTATCGTACAGTGGTAGTGACTGTCACAGTTCCGTTCACCGATGATTTGGGGAGATGGGGTTGGCAGCTGCACATTGGAGGCGGGAGCTGATAAACTGGGGTGTAAATTCAGGGTTGTCAGTGCACTTTTAAACTGGAAGATCGGGAAGGGAGCTGTGCATTGAAGGCAATATCTTGGATGCATGAACACCATTGAGGATGCGACTGCACCATCTCTGACAATGTCTCTGACCATTGATGTGGTCCGTCTCATGGCCTCCATCCGGGAAGACGGCAGTGAACAGCTCAGCTGAGTTTGCTACCAACGGCACTTATATTTGTTGCCAAGTCATTGTTTGACCCCCCCTGGTTCGTTTCCACCCTGCCTGTGGTTGTTCGAAAAACACCCTTCGGGGAAGTCCGTTGAATGCCATTTGGAGCACGTGGCCAAGCCAGCATGACCCATGCAGTGTGATCAGTTCGCTTATTTTGGGTGAGTTAGTTCTTCCGAATACCATTCGACGTAATTCAGAATTGCTGACCCGATGTTTGTAGTTTCCACACCGAAAGAGATCTAATTGGATTTCGTGAAGAGATGGTGACTGAAGTGTCTGCTGAGAACTTCTGAGTGCAGCTGGTGTTGTTCTCTTTCTAGGATGAGTTTGACGTTATCCCTCTCACGGTCGGTCGGAGACACTGAAAGCTATGTAGACCAACCGATGACCATAACTTTTGGTGTAGCAGTGTTTTAGGTGTGGGCATTTCCAGTGATTGTGGTGGACTATCCACATGTCTCGCTACGTCACTATGAGAATCTATTCCAATAAACGGACATGGTTGTATAGCAGTGAAGGACTAGTGTTCTCATCTGTTTTAACTCTCAATAGTGCGGATCTTCAGACGGAGCAAACACTTTTCAAGAACGGTACACCTAGAACGATTCATACTCGAATCGATGAAGAAGAATCGATGAAGAATCGAACAGACAGCTGAGCAAAATATGGCCGAGGGAATACGGGTCTACACCAAGCTCTGATTCAAAGTAGATTCTATTGCTGATTCACTTTCCAAAGGGCCGAAAATAGTACCGCAGTAACCTATGGTTTATCCACTAAATAGTGCCCGAGGTTTAGCTCCAGTCCAGTCCACTGGTTGCACTCACAAGGGAGGCTACAAATCTCTAACGCCACCTTTCATTCGCACTCCACAATGGCGTTGGGAGATCAACTGAGTGAGCCGTGTCACATCTATACGAAATGCACGTGCAACAACAGTGTGTCTTCCAACAAGTGTACCGGCGACTTTGGAAAACAGTGTTGCTATCCATTTTTTGAAATCCATAGTGGAGGTTATACGAATCTGACGGAATAAGCCAGACTTCCGTGCATGAATGAAACGTGTACGACCTTTGGACTTACGTTGACCTCGGACCATTCCAATGCCATGGCTTATCCAGACAGTGTCATAGTCTGTTCAAATCAATGCCTTCTGACCCATGCGCCGCACTTTCTCTAGTTTTAAACAGTTGTCCATGGATTGCTCGAAGCAAGAACATCTGTCTGTAAAATTGATTATATAGCTGTTTTCATCTGGGCCATTTTTACTATTCACAGCTCCCTTGGAAATCATTTTGGGCTTAACCTGATCTGCAACCTTAAATCATTTGTTTCTACAGGTAGTCGGATTTCTGATTATGCTATTTGGGGCCTTACTGACGTGGGGAAGGGCGGTCATGGAAGAACAAATTCGTGGATTTCTAAAGCAAGCGATTGTCATGCTGTATGGGCACAAAACAGCGATTGAAGCGACAGAGTTGGCACAGCACGCACTTCGAATTACTGGTGGGTTAACTGTTTCATTTACCATTTGCTCTAATGAACCTGTTAGAACTGGAACCACTCTTGACTGAGAGTTAAGGCAACCTTCGGATCAAAAGGTGCAATGGCTTGTAATATGCATTTTTGTTGTTTTATTGTTGCTTATGGTCAGTGAATAATTCTGCATAATTGAATTTTGTTTGGTGTAACTATAGACCGATTAAGACTCAGCCGTGTGCTATCGATCAACTTCAAGGTCATACATGAGTTGCAAACGATAGACACCCGGTCGAATCTCCCCTCAAAGAGCATAGTAACTTGCAAACTGGCCTTCACCTTCATAGACGTTCAACGGGGTATTCGGGAACCAACTACGATCGATCAGAATTCGGTGGCTGTCTGCCTGATGAGCTGCTCTAGGAACATAAAAACAGTAGTGTGATGTTGAAGTGTTTTCAAGAAAGTTGTAATTTGTCTCAATTCAAGATAAATGTCAGCTGGCGATTGGTCATTTCCGTCGCATGTCGTCTTGTGAATAGGAGATATCCTTCTCAATATGGGCTGCTGTAAGCAAATATTTGCCTTGAATGCATACCCATGAAATGGAGCCAGCTGGTGCAGTACAAAATTTTCGACAAAGAATACTATGGAAGTGACAACCAGAGTCAATAACACATTGTCGGGCTTTTACTAAGACGCTAATGAAAATTCATAAAGAATACAGAAACTTGAGGTGGCCTTATAGGAGACATTCAGTTGAAAAAGACCATTACAGATGACGGATTTTGTTGGATTCAGTTGAGTTTACCATCAAAACCGCACTCATAAGCGAAGCAAAGTAGGTGAAAAGTTCTGTCCAATTTGGGTTCAAGTAAAATGTAAGTTCGCCGTAAAATCAAGGGAAGGAGTCTACCTGATGAGTTTGAAACACAGCAGAACCAGTCATGGTTTATCAAATATTTTCAGTAAGCTTATGCATAATAATTCTTCACAAAATCATACTTTGATATGCTCAAGATCATGCCAACAGATAGCCTTTGTTCAACACACTCAATTGAAGAATGTCGGTGCTAAGAGATTCAGTGGAGATTCGTCTGAATTTTTTGCAAATGGGTGCATTTCGTGAATATAAAGTACATTTTTTGTTGGTAATTTGATATTTGGGTTTTGTAAAGAGTTCGTCCTGTAAGTGAAGCCAATCTATACTGAAAAGCTGAGAAATACTGTACAGCTGTTTTACCCTTATTGGGAATCATCAGCAATGCGCATCTCACGAAAATTCGGAGAGTCTAGAAACCCCGATTTCCTGGCCAGTAGTGTGAACACGATCTCCTGATCAGCAGTGTGACTAACCCATACCTAGACAGGACATAGCGCCGCTCGTCCTTCCACATTACTCAGTCACAGGTTAACCGACTCCTCAAGCAGCGACTTCTCACATGGAAGTTTCATTCATCGGGTAAAGTTTATTCTTACTGAGCTACTAATAGGTTGTTGTTAGTTTGAGGATGAAACAACCGTACGGTGCTTCTCGGCTTTCCAGCATAGATTGGCTTCACCTCCAGGACGGAATCTACATTTTATAGGTTTGCGGAACTTGGCACATTAAAATATTTCGGCGTTCGGTTTACCGATTCAGGAAACATTAAGCATTCTTTTCGGAGCACATTCAGTTATAAGCCAGAGTCTGGCTCAGGTTGAGTATTACCCTGTTGTTACGCCAATTTGCAAACGAGTGTCGATTACACCACGTTCTCTAAGGGGCTAACTAATCCTTTTTGGCTAACCGACTATAGGAGTTCATTTGGTACTTGACACCTCATTTTCTTGTTTATTTCTCACTTGTCGCTCAACATAGCACACTCTTTTTAATTTAGCACCGTTCGGTATGATCATCTTCTCGTTTGGCACTATCATCTTCCTCTTATGCGTGTTCGGGTGCATTGGAGCGAGCTGTAACAGTGCGCTGTGTCTGAAAATAGTGAGTCCATGACTTGTTGAGGTAAACACTATAGGGAATTTCAACAAAATTTTTGGTGGCCCAATATGTATAAGCAGATTTGTTCATCTGTCTAAGGCAGACAACATAGCGGATTTCCAAAAAATTCTGTTGCGACTGGGATTTCCAAATGTCCAATCGCATTTCCAAGGTTCAGAAGTTAGTAATGTTTTACTAGATCCCAAGAGTATGTTTATCTTGCACATTTAAAAAAAATTATTGATACATGCGCGGCAATGGACCTTATGACGTGCTGGATCTGACCGCTGCACACTCTAGTCCACAAATCCGATCGACTGATATGAAGGCTGTCGATGTACTTCACAAATGTATAGTGCAACATATCGAATGCCATACCAACGGATACATGAGACGGTCTCTTTCAAGCACAGTGGGTTGAAGAGAGCTATCATAAACGAGAAAGTCAGGTGCATTTTCTCTGGTCGTATTTCATTAGTTTTATACACTTTGGTGTTTAAATAGAACATAAAGCTTACAGGAACTCAGGGACAGCCTTCAGCTCATAAGCACCGAGAGAAGAGCAAATTTAGTCGTGGGCATTAGAAGGCTCTTAGACAATCCTGTGAGTAGGACAAAGTATTTCTGACCAATATTACTAACTCTGACAATGATACGCGAGAATTAAGTGTTATTATACCAAATAGAGTTTCCAAAACACGTTGCTATTGCGCTGAACTGCATCGTTTGTGATGTTTGAGCCCAGAATTCTCTGATTTACGGAACACACCAGCTCCCTATGAACAGTGATTGGCAGACAGAAAGATAGCAATGGAGAGCTAAATGAGATGTCCAAAGGCCGAAATTCGCAGGTCCGTTTGTAGCTGATAATGACAGGATTGCGTGAATTTGAATAACACATAAACAAAGAAATAGCCTGACAGTGTTATGCAATTCAACGCCATCGTTTGCAATACATGACGCGGTCACCAAATAACAATTAATTGCGCTTAATCACTTTGCCCAAAAGTCACTCACAATGCTGACCGAAGAATTTAAGCTCACATCAACCATGGAAAGCTCAACACGACTGTCAGGCATGTTCGAACGCAGGATAGTGGCCTGTAGCGAGTAGCTGCTGGGGCCTCAAGAAATGAATGCTTAATGAATGAATGCACGTACCGGCACTGGAAACACTGAGCTGATAAACGTGCAGGACAACCCATGGCGGAGGGTTTGAACCTCTTGTGACCTTAACGAGGAACCAAAAATGGATCGGCCTTCTTGGGCTTCGGAGTCAAGTAGCCTTTATGATAGGTGCTTCAAGGATTTGTGGATGTGAATTCTCGCTCGAACACTTCCCCTTGTCTCAATGCATTTATTCTGGTACGTCTATAGAAGGTTGTGGGAACACTGTGCTTGAGTTTCGCTCCTAATGGACCCGAGTCAAAGTGAATTCCATCGGCCGACATTCGTGAGTCAGCATACATTGAGATTTGGGGCTCAGTGTGAGTGCCCATCGATATATCTCGAAATCCCTCCTAAGTCTGGGATTTTCTCGCACAGTCTTAAACGGAAGTACGTGGCAGAAACCACCACCCATGTGAATAGTCTGGGCATCGTTTGAACTAGTCTCCACTGGGCAATGAATGTCTAGGATGCTTGTTGAAAGCACCTCCTATGTTCGAATATCCTGCCGATGCTAATAAACATCGTTGGTATCAACGTCGTCAGTTGTACCGTCGTAACAATGATTTCTTGTAAATTATAGCCCAACATACATAAGTAATTGTTAATAGCGTCGCTCACCAGTAAAAATACAGTGCCTTATCTGCACCAAGTAGTCATTCGATGGCAACAGTGCATTTGTACGGGCGTTTTGGCAGTAAGCTGTCATTTATTAGGTAATGTCTGAATATATTTTTCCAGTATGTCCATTGGCCTTTGATCAGGCGTCAAATGATTTGGCTACCATTATTGGCAATGGGCATGCAAATGTTTTTCATCAAATGAGGGGACATCCCCAACATACACTAAAAAGTATTCCTCAAATGTTGACCATATGATTGTGAACTAGGTACCAAGGCCGGTATGCAGATCAACTGCCATCCGAACAGCAGTCGATATCACCCATGGAACCATTTGTTATGAGATGCGTTTCCCTTGAACATATCGAATCAAATGTGTACCCGTGTGCTGAGCAAACTATGTACAAAAACTGGTTCACGAAACAGTGTGATATCCGTTCATTCACTAAACTTGTGACCTTGTGTTGACTTTCAGTATCTTGGATTTCTGATCTTCTTCACCGTTCTCGAGATTGTTGCGCTAGCTTTCTACTACAGTCGACGGAGTACAGTAAGTGTTCAATATCCCGTTGTTCATGGGTTCAGTGTCCACGACCTTATTATCGAATGTTCACACCCACACCAGTATGTATCATACAAGCGATATGAGTAGAGCATTTGTTTGTGATACGGTGATTCCCATTTAATATCGAATAAATATGGCCAGTGCGCAAACTCACGGGTGTTGTTTAAGGGTGAGTAACTAGATTTAGCTTGATAGTGAAACGAATATTGTCAGTTAACTGTATTATATGTCAAAAATATGATACTTCAGGAGTTACCTGCCCCTCATCTGAGGTCCTAAAATGGAACGACCGTTCTGTTTGCATGAAAATCTGTGCCATAACTGTTGTAATTCTGGGCGTTTTGGGATGTGATAGATCTGAGGTTATCAAATGGGTAGAAGCATCGTGACGCTACCTAGATCTGTTGCTCCAAATCGACACTTGGTTGAGCTGACTTCGTTGATTTGAGAACTTGAGGGAGGGGGTTATCGTTCAGCTGTAATACACTTTTGGTGTTCGGGCGTCATGCTATCTGAAGGAAGTACCGGGTCCGAAATACTGCCGGTTTGCACAAGCTAAGACAGAGTCAATCAGGATGGTGGCACTGAGTCAGGGACATATGGAAGCAAAGAAATATAGGGTTGCATTAACGCCTCTTGCTAAATTATCTTCAGAATCTATCAGGTACTGATTAAGAACGGGAGGGCAGTTATCCCACCAAAGTGTGACTGAACTATCTTCGCTTATCAGATCCTCAAACTCAACTCAATCTCTAGCAGGATAGGTTGGAACAGAATAACAAATTTCCCCGTATTTGTGAGACAGTGAACTGTGTTGAATGAGTTGCAACGCAGAGGCATCAATCATTTCTCGAAGCTCCTAAACCCATAGCCAGCTTCAACGGACTAGGAATCTCTGATCCGCACACACACACACACAAACGTGTATCTTCTAAATTAGAAAGACTCCTAAAGACTGCACCAATATTGGGTTAAGTCATTGGGGAAGGTTGAGTTGACACCAAACGAGTATAGGCTGTATATGTACACTTAGACAGGACTATTGCCCATTGGAAGAAACCATGCAAACTAAATCAAAGGAGTTGATAGATAGCTCATCTCACAGGAACTTCGCTCAATATTCGTCCGTGCCGACTTCTTGATAACTGCTGACTTCCGAAGGTTGGCCGGACATCGTGAGGAAATACTTTTTGTTGGTCATGTTTTTATCAGTCTATAAGATCAGTTCGACCACTCTTCAATTGTTTGATTTGTTGCGTTTTTTGGTCCACAAACTATCAGTTTCCATGGGAGAACCACATCATTTCATTCTTCAGCCGTTGTAAGCGTTTTATATGAGGCAAGTTTGCAGTTTAAAATTCACTCTGAACAAAAGTATTTTGGGGTATGGTCGTGGACCTGTAAACTGAATTAATTTTCTCAGCTAAGGAGAGAATTTAACTAGTTGCTATTTTCGCTAACTCAAAAACTCACATCTGGTTTTTACCAACCTGAATGAAAGCTTTTTGTCACTCCTGAAATTTCACTAAATCTTTTTGGGTCCTCTATTCACCTGACACCGTGAGAATATTCCACAGTTTTTATGGTTTGGCGTAGCATAAGTCAGTCGAACGTGACATAGTTGTGGTCCGGAGAGCAATGCTGAAACACTGTGGTAAACTTCCGGTGAAGTGTTACGTCTGTTCACCACTCCCTTTCCTCTATTCACCTGACACCGTGAGAATATTTCACAGTTTTTATGATTTGGCGTAGCATAAGTCAGTCGCACGTGACATGGTTGTGGTCCGGAGAGCAATGCTGAAACCCACTGTGGTAAACTTCGGGTGAAGTGATACGTCTGTTCACCACTCCCTTATGTCGAATCATATTCCCGAATGATTGAATGAAATATGTCAACTGTTTTCCGGAGTTCTATGAGTAGTTTATTGCCAAGGGAAACTCAAATCCAATTGGATTTTCGAGACGTCTGGTTAGACTGTAAATGTGTTTTGTAGAACCATGTGTAGCCCTGAACACCGGTTGATATAGATGTCCGTTGTCAGACAACACACGGGTTTGCTGCTGACTCTACAGCTGTGTTTCTCACCTTGTTCGCCGTCATCTTGCATGCAGGCCAAAGGACTCAGTGTGTGGCGTTCCGAGAATTTCAGTTAGTCCAGCATTTCAGCTCACGAACCGTGTTTCGAAATGCAGTGTTTCCAGCTGCTACGACTTCGTTCGTTGAGGGGGCGCTGGCCCAATTAGTTCAGTGGCGCTGAATGGTCGTTTTTCTACTGTGAGAGGGAGTGAGATCTATGCAGCGATAATTTTGGTGGAAGACCACTATTCGCTGCGTGACACAACCATGTCTGTTAGGGACACTAGGCAATGATTGTCATGTCCTGCGGTCTCCAACCTGGAACAGAGCATTTGACAACATGAGTGAGTTAGCTGGCAAGGGATTTAATGCTTCGTTGTCCTGTCATTGACCACCGCTGGGTTGTCTCCATCCGACACAAGGCTGGGGGAAGAGGGCTTACGAGGCAAACGGCAAACGAAGCACATGGCCTAATTAGCGTAAATTTTGGAATGTGACCAGCTGACCCGTCGAACGAAGGTGAACGTTCCCGAAAAGCATCTGGCGTACTTTAGCATTACTAATTTTCTGGTGTTTCGAGTTGGAACAATTCATACTGCCGAGGGTGTTTGTTCGTCAAAATTGTCACAAATAGTTCATTTTCGATTGAGGTTTGATCGCCTTTCACCTTCCTTAGATGACCAATTCATCTTTTTTGAGGGTGTCCTTCCAGGTTAACTTATCATTTCTTAATTTTTCAACTGTCAACATGAGTGAGACAAAAAACGGCTTGCGGCAGCTCCAGTAAATGACAGTCAATCAGCAACTGTTTCAACATGTGGATCAATAACGTAACGAACAAGCTAGACGAATCGTGGGGGGGGGGCTTGCTCAAATCCAGAAGACTGGAATAAGCCGGTTGCATTGGTACCGCCAACTGCTACAAAACCTAGTGTGAACTGAGTTCAATTCAGCGTTCTAATTTATGTTAAAGACCTTGGAATTGTTGATATTTTCGTGTTGTAGCGGCAGGAGATGTACACTACTGAGCTCCCGAAAGTAAAAAGTTCCTAGAGCTTTATTCTGGTTTCCTACTCATGCACTCCCCATCTCCCCAGTTCTTTGCCCTTGATTCAAATAAATCTACATGGTTGTACCGCAGTGATGCACCACTGTTCTCATCTGGTATTGTTGTCAACGCCGATAACATCAGTAGGTGTTTTTATTAATTATGTTGAACTTTGATCAAGAATACTTCTGTTCAAAATTCGCTCCAGGTTTTCAACATAGTACGAAGAATCTTGAAGCAGTCGCTCCTACGGTACCGTTCCAAGGAATCCAGAGATGCCCACAGCATGCTGTTCAACGTTATGATGCCACCGGTAAGCTTCTGTTGCATACCGTCCGGAGTAAACATGAGGGCTGCGATTTTGCCATGGTATCCAAGCTTAGACGAGAGCGGCCAAAATTCCGATGTTGGGTTTAGACCGCAAGACATCCGGTCAGTTATCTTGCGGGTTAACCACTGAGCTATCTCATACTGGCGGACGATGACTATGAAATTGGTATTTGGGCAAAATGTAAGAATTTATCAGCTGTTTTCTAGAGCGGTGCATGTTGAAAGAGCATTAGTGAAGCATGGCTTAGTACCTCGGGAGACACAAAACAGTGTACTGACATCCCCCTTTCACTGTAGAAATAACCAAACTGATAGGTAGGTTCAACCCACGTTCTTAGTGAGGATCTGTCTGCTTGAGTGTTTAAAATCAATCTGGGTTTCATCAGATCGAATCAACAGGGGTTCTGGCGCACATGAGTGACCAAACTGGAGCCATGGTCATCTGCTGTTGGATTTTGCGGTGCAACATACTGAGAAATAAAAAGTGAAGTATGATGGCTTTAAGGAAAATAAGACAGATGAGGTTCTTGCAAAACAGCAGTGTCACCTGATGGGATAATTTTGAACTCCAAGAGGCCTGGAGCAAGTTGTAGTGATCTATTGTGATTTGATCCAGGCTTTTTCGCTTTATCAGTCAGATGAGAACTTCATCTGACTTCGTCACGTCAGATTTCGAACAATGCCGCGATCGTACTGATCGCGTGGGTTACAGTTGACCCATAATGGATTACGGATTCAAAACTTACATAGATGTCTGGGCTGCCCATCGAAATTGCACTGTTCACCTGGACCTCTCGATAGCTCAGTGTTGGGCAGGTCCGTGGTTAAGATTCAAAATCAGCACCCAGCTGCTCTAACCAAGGCTTGCGCAACCCAGAAGTTCCTCGACATTCGTTCTTCATTCGGGTTGAATGAAAATCAGGTGCCGAAGGGCTCATTCAGTTAAGTTACGAGTATTATTTTTACTTGGTGCATATACAGGAGTCCTAAACTCCTAAAAAAATTCTGTATGTTCATAATGAAGACATGCTCCAAAGGTATTGCAGGTTCGATGATTTCTTCGCAACGAATAGAGTGTTGTTGCTTGTTAAATCATCATAAGTTACGTAACGTCAAGAAAAAAAGAGCAAAGCAATGTGCGCATCTAACATGGTAAACCTACTGATGGGTATTCACGTGTGCTTGCGTCCACCGAATCGCGGAAGTACCTATTTTGAACAAAGGAGCGACCAGAGACCAATGTAATATCGCTGAGCCCATGTTTTTCAGATTTCTTCATCCTCTAACTTGTTTCGGTTGTAATTGCAAGCGGAAAAGTATTTCATGGAAGAGAGTGCTTAGATATTCCTTCTCAAAGGATCCGAAAATTGCTTCAACAATTATAATGTACGACCAGTAGATATGTCGAGTATTCAGACGTAGCATACGCCGTCATGTCATGCATCATATGTTCATCAATCAATACTGCGACAATACCATTGCCGCTAGCACTGAATCTGAACAGCAAACCTGGGAAGAATGAATTGTATAACCTTGTAGCCGGCGCCATCTTTAGACTGGTTTAGACCGATCCACGGAGCCAAAGAATGGGTCCACTTTTGCAAACAGTGTAGCACTTAATCCTCTTATTTCGCTGTCAAGTCGTTGTTTGGCCGCCTCTGGCTCGTTTTTACCCTTTGGTGGTTGTGCGAAATATAAAAGCCATTACCAGCAGACTTTGCTGCTCACTGTCGTCTTCCCGGATGGAGACCACGAGACAGACCACATCAATGGGTAGAAACATTGTCAGACATGGCCCAGTCGCGCCCTCAATGGCGCTCGCGCATCCAAGCTATTGCCCTCACTGAATAGCTCCCTTCTCGATCTCTCTAATTAAATGTCCACTGACAACTCTGAATGTGCGCACCAATTTATCAGCTCCCGCAGATACCTACCCCACCTCATAAAATCATCCGTGGGTGTAACGGTGGCAGCTACAACCACTGTACGAAATGCACGCAGTTCTTACAGCTGACAATGATGATGATGATCCTCTACTTTCATTTTCAATGAATGCTTTTCATTTCAACTGCAAATAGCAGGCAAGTGTCATTTAAGTCCGGAATGTCAGTTCGTCCACTTTTTTGACCAGCAATCTATAGATGTTGCATAACCTGACTGTCAAACAACTTCATTGAACTGATTACTGGATAGTCGTCTAAAAAGTTATTAGTACTATTACGTTAACTGTGATGGTTTAAAGAACTTACTCCTGAAACTATTCCCAGAGCAGAATTGCCTCAGAAAACCTCGTATTAACAGTTAAAAGTTTGGTTCACTTGGTTCTCTCCGAATTCATTCGTCAATTTCCTCGGAATGGTTTACTATCATGATTCTTTATTTCTTGGCTGACCCTTACTTCCATTTGTTTCAGTGGGCTGTCGCTACCGGTCAATTCATTATTCAGTAGTAATCCCCCGTTCAAACTAGTTTAACTTCCGACTGCTAATTTGGTCGGCTGGAAAGAGCAAAGTGAGGGATATCCAATTCAATTGTTGGAAAATCTGGCTCGTACACGGAAGGAAAACTCTCACACCCATGAATACAAGCGGACATCCTTTTAACTCATGGCCTACATGAAACTCCAGAAAGCTAACCATCTTTAAAAGTATCTAAAAAAAGTTCACAAGAGTGCATGGGTACAAAAACAGGCTGGAAAGAGCAAAGTGAGGGATATCCAATTCAATTGTTGGAAAATCTGGCTCGTACACGGAAGGAAAACTCTCACACCCATGAATACAAGCGGACATCCTTTTAACTCATGGCCTACATGAAACTCCAGAAAGCTAACCATCTTTAAAAGTATCTAAAAAAAGTTCACAAGAGTGCATGGGTTACAAAAACAACCAAAACGCTTTTGTGTAGTTCTGAGTAATGAAGTAACTCAGTATATTGCTCTTAATCTGGTGAACCTCATCAAGTGGTCGGATCTATAAAGGCATGTGTCGCAAGCTGTCCCGACGACCGAAGAACAAACCGGTGTTATCGATGGGCGAAAAATTTCGATAAACTGGATAATTCTCCTCAAAATTCAGGTTAGTTTTTACCAAAACACTGTCAAGCCTCAGTCTCAGTCACGTTTGCTCAATGTATTTCAGCTTCATTGTTGCGGACTTCACAACGCATCGGACTTTGACCAAGCAAAAGATTTCGACCATCAATACAACACCACGACGGGCCTAATAAGTGAGTTTAAACTTCAGTAAACCTTTATTTATAATAAAGTTTCTGGTTACAAAACATTTTAAATCACGAGAAACAGATGGAGAGTTTCAAATGATCATGCTTTTAGCATGGAAATTCGTCAGGTGTGCATATTTGTCAAATTGTAAAAGAGGTTGGAACCGAGGCGTTCTTGGGTCTAAAGTGGTCACCTATTTGGGTTGGTGGTGACAAATGGCTCAGCGTAAATCCACCTGTATCGATCGTTTATCCGAAAATTTGTACAATTTTAGACAAAGTGAACTCGATCGTAGTTCGAAAAAAGGCCTAACCAATGAGCCTCGGGAAGGAGGAAACATTTAGTTGGTTTCTCATGTCTCTTACAGATCTTTTGACAAGTATCAATGATACCGTCTTGTTCAGTTTTGGCTGACTGGTGAGTGCACTAATTAACCTTTAGTTACACAGATTGGCGGCTTGGTTTAGTCCACAGGGTTAATTTATTATTAAATAAGAGTACAAATCAACATGCCGGGGATAACTCACAACCATTTACTATAATCGGCGCTTAGCTGAAAGCGAATTACAATTTTCAAACAAGTTAATTGAGCTCTAGCGAAAACATACTTTGTTACTGAACCAAAGATTCATTTGAACTTTAAACTGTTCCCTTGCAATGATATGGGGACTCTGTTCACTGACACCGCGAAGCTCATCAACAGGCCGGAGGAAGCAAAGATTTCATCGTTTTCGCGGGTGATGACGGGTTGAAACCCGCGTAAATTTTATGAAAGGAAATGGTGCAATCGAACAAACAAAATGATGGGTTAGGTAGTACGAAGATCGTGTATCATATGAGAAGCAGTACTGATTAGATAGTTGACGGTCGCTAGTGTTGTGATCAGCGGATAAAGAGAATTTCCAAAATTATTCATCTAAGCACCGAATAAAATAAATCTGACTAAACTTGTGGGCCGAAGATAATGAAGCTTCAACAATTGAGTTTTTAAAAACGGTTTACTCTTTTTTATGGACAACGCGATGACTTGCATTAGGGAAGACGATACACCCAAAATTTATTGTTTGAATTCATTGCCACACGCAATCGTGTTAGGTCAGGAAAACTGGCAAAAACTAGCTTTTGACGAAGTTCAAGACAAGGACTGAGAAGAGCGTTTACTGTAGCATCTTTCAAATCAAATCTGATCTGAAAATCTTCCCACACCTATTTGAGACAAACCTGTTTGAGGTCAAGAGAAGACAGCTTCTCACATTGGGGTTTTAAGGTGCAGAATCATGCCTCAGAATGTGCAGCATTCGAACATAGCGCTATCAGTTTAAGGAGAAGCCCTAAAGGTTGTGGAGAAAGTCGAAACCTCGACACTTTTAATAGGGATGACGAATGTCAGTTTGATGGCACAAGCGTTCGAAACTTAAACGTCCAAACCACATCCGTTGAGTAACGTTGCTTGTGACGTCCGAAAGACGCATTGCTTAGTCTCGTTTTTGGTGCATATCTGGCTACATTAAGAGCTGGACTGTGATGTGTTATGGGCCTTTGCAGATGAAAGATCTGAAGCATCTTCAGGTTTTTTTAATTTCTAATGTCCTGGAATTATTTCTTGAACTGACCCGAGTCAATGAATTGGTGATGATGCGACCAGATTATACAACAGGTATTTCGGTCGTAGAAACTATTTAGCGCCATCGTTGGCTGCGTTTGTATACCATGAAGAATGTTTTCTTCCAAATCTTGCACAGAATGGCACATCCTGCAACTTGTCACTTGACAGAGTAGTTTGGATACGACTGTGATGAGTCTGGGTGTTGCTGGTGGTGTCCACTTCATAACTCTGAGTGGGTTTTGCAGAAAGCATTATAAGATATGACAGTTAACAATGTTCACATCAATTTCTGCCCAAACTGTCATAGTGGTCGCGTGGGCTCAGAATGCTTGCGACAGACTAGTACCAGGTCTTTTCTCTTCCCGGTCTTCTTTTTGTGCTTCAACTAATGGTTGCGATATAACACTGATCATCACCATGCACAAAGATGTTGCGGTAAATGTCCTGAGATAAAAGAGGTCACAGCTGAGAAATTGGAGATACGAATGGGTGAGATTTCAGGGAGAGAAAAGAGCGGATTTAGTGCGTTGCATACAAAATAATGGGTAGAACTGAGAATGTGGTGGAATACTGTAGCTTGGATGCACTGTGTGTGGATGAACACATTGGTAGTTGATCAGGTTGTTGTCACTCTGTTCGCCGAGCCTAGAAATCGACTTGCAGACCTTTCGTCACCATCGTGCACGACTGGGTCGGCAGTTCCTCCCTTCGCGCTTATACATAAGTAGATGCAGAGGGCAGCTTTGAGCCCAATTTGACTGGCTCTGGTGAGATGAATGAGACTATTAGAGCCTGTAGATGCTCCTTGTAAACTGTATAAGTGCAAGCACAAAGGAGGGGTCTGGCCACCGAATCCTGCACTGATGGTGTTTCCTCAACGGGCGGTGAAAAGTCAACAAGTCGATCGCCTAGCTCGGCGAACAGATCAAGATCCACTGGAGAGGCTACCAAACGAGTAGATTTGGCCGATGGCGTTCCGGACATTTGATGACGTACCGAATGTCCACCTTCTAGTGGGGAGTTCGCTGGTTTGGTCATAAAGATTGCCTCCTGATCCCTTCCCGTACCAACATATTCGGACCTACGGCCTCAGGTTGTGAATTTGAAAGTTGAACAAGTTGAAAGAAAAAAGAACTGTCCATTTTGAAATAACATTTTCATTTGCTAGATTGTTTTGCTGCATAAGTAATGAGCCAGATCGTGTGAGTACGGAGCGGGAAGGAGACGTTTCTGATGAAAATTTGGCGTACACAGAAGCTCACAAAGATCTTTTGTAGATTCTAGTAACTTTGTGGTCATACCGCATTCGCAAGCAAGTGTTTATTTGGTTTAATGAAGAACTGTCCCACATGAAGCGATCGCAGCCAACTGGGTTAAGTTGTTTCTACCAACGGAGAGTTTTCTGATGAAATACCTCTTAAGAGCCTCACAATAATAATAACGTGCTTTTGACAACTAGTCATTCCTGAAAATGCTTGGAACAAAGACAGTTCTAGTTGATACCGTCGATCGCCTTAAGGTGTGACACAGATGCTTCTCTAATTTGTGTCACAAGACAGCCTCCCCGTCAGCGGTTTTAATACTTACAATCCGGTACATTGTAGTCAATTTATCTCTAATTCCAAACTGCAAAACGATCATTTCAGCAGAGACTAATAAAACCAATGTTTGACAAAATAGAAGTCCTAGCCAGCTTATTGAATATGACTAATCGGTTTGCTTTGACCTTGAGGATGACAAAGTTATGATCTAGTAAACTCGAATTCTACGTTGCCAACCAGGCGTTGCCACTCGCGAACAACACAATTTCACATTGAACCTCACATAAAATGATGTGCTTTCTTACTGTCCTTGATCTCCACCACCATTTCTGCTGCATCCAGATATAACGTACCCAGTCACCTGCTGCAAAATGGACCACTCTTATGTCATTCAAGATAATACCTGCCCTGGCAAGTTCGACTCAAACAATTCCAACATTGATCGTGGATGCTGGGAGCAGCTCTATCCTCATCTTGTCTATTACGGAAATGCAGGCGCAGTCGCTGGTCTCATCGTACTCTTGTTTCAGGTAAGAAGTTTCGCTCATAAATAAATATATACCCATATATACCGGTGTGGCACTTGGAAGGTCTACATCAAATAGATTGAATATCGCTTGTGGTTTGTGAGTAATATCCATCATGTACAGAATGCAGTGTGGAAGAATGAGCTGAAAACCAGACTCCAAATGGAGCCGAGAAATGACATTTTATTATGTTGGAGTAGATAATCGGAGAATGGATAAAATTGAGGGTGTAGAACCAACATTGAGTTACCTGAAGACCTCGTTCTCAATCGCCTAAATTTTCCTGTACATACAAATTTATGTCACGAAGCCTAGGCTTAGCAAACTGGAGAAAATGTACATTGATATCAGGAACATACGCAAAATTGTAGAGATCGTTTTGGTTAATACGAGCTGCATTCATGGAAGAATGAACCACACAAGGCGCGCATTATCTGGTGAGAGCTTAGTGACGCCTATGAGCGTTGCAACTGATTCGTGCAAGCGGAAGTCTATTATCTTTCCCACTTAACAATACTCTTCCAGAGAATTGTTGAGATACCTCCAGATAGTTCGGAAAAGGACTTTGTCTGAATGGCCGGCCTTGACTAGAAGTACCGCAAAACGGATCCCCGAGGTCAAATGAAAGACGCTAGCAAGCAAAGCATGTAGTATGTTCAAACTGCATGGACCAGATGAAAAATTTTCAGCTGGTCATTCCCCATCCTGGATCTTGAGTTCAGCGAATTCTTTTCTGGGACTTTAATGGGATGTCTAGGGATTGTGTAATTTCCAGAAGAGTATCGAAGCGCTTGAACCCATGCTGCTTCAAAACGATGCCAATCGCTTGCAGATTGTACATCACGCGAGCAGGTCGATACAAATTAGGAGCAGATTGACCACCAGCTAATCAGCCTAAAATAACTGGCACACAAGCAGGGTAGGCGATGGCTTCTGATCGACCAGGGAATCAGTAGAGTCAACCAGTGCTTCAGATTATCCTGCGACCGCAACTGCCTACGCACGTGAGAGGAACAGAAACGAGTAATCAGCACGAAAGATAAATAGGGACATAATGGACTGATAGACCGCAGACAAAAACATTAGTTTGATGTTGCCTCGGAAATTTCTTCGTTGGGAGTTGGTAAAATATAGGAGTTATCTGTACTGTCATTAGGATTTCTTGCTTCTCAGTGATCCTTCTTTCATTCAAATTTGAGATGCTTGTATTGAGAAAAGGCTGGTACATTGAACAAGTGACAGAACGGGTTACCATGTACGTCCCGAATAGTCTATGAGCCTCTGTGATCATTTCTTTACGGTATTTTAGCTAATAGGGATTGCTCATTTAACCTGAGGCGTGGCATCTCTTTAGGATGAGGTAACACGTCTTACAATAGCAGCTATGAGAGTGAAAGTCCTCGGGGAGGTGATCCAGTAGAGACAACATGCAATGGTCTCTCAGAATTTCGACTTAAAACTGGGCCGTGAGGCACCAAAATAGAAGTTTGTAAAACGAGAAATCACAACGCGCAAACCCTCCTTAAGTGAAAGGGTATCTCATGTGTAAATAACTTTCACACGTGGTGATCAAAACACTTCAAAATCACAGGTGAGTCTGATCACAATGTGGAAGCCCCCTACGGGCGCTATCTGTTTCATGTTCCTTATTACGGCTTATTTTCTTTCCCAGGTCTTACTCATCGTGATGTCCATTATAACGCTAGCAATGAAACAAATGTAGGACACAAGCAAGAGTATTCCCAGGAACGCTACACAAGCTCCCCAGTCGTCTACGTGTTGTCAAACCTAACTAGGACTACACCACCTGCACGGGCGTGATTTTCGCAAACTTTGTAGTTGGTGATTTAAAAACCACATTACTCACTGGTAATTATCCGTATACCCTTATCCTTAGTTCCTCATGTAAACTCTTTTCAACCTTCATCCGTTCCATTCCGTCTAAACTGCTTTCTCATTATCGTTCGTCATTTCGTTGCCAACGTATCAACCTATTACTGGCAATAACCCTTCTATTTGTAACGTAATTGGTATTATTCAGTTTCCTGTTTGTGTTCTGCACCACCGTGTTTGGGGTACTACGTGAAAATAGGAAAGATTACAGACGTTTTAAGACGCTTGAGGCAGCAAGCTTCGACGACTTTTATTGGGAAGCCGGCAAGTACAAAATTTCCATTTGAATTATTTAAGTGTAATCGTGTTTTGGATATTTCATATATATATTTCATTTCACTGATGTGAACAACGTCACCAGTGTAATGAGGTATATTTCATTAGTACCTTCAGCCGGGTTTTCGGGGGTAGTTATTAAACTTAGTCGAAAGAGCTTCCTCTGGAGGCCTGACCAGATTAGGATCAGTTCTCACGATCGATCACCATGTGATGGGAGTCATGAAAGCGGCTCCCGTCAAACGTAGTATGGATGTGTCGCTGATTTGTGATTCCACCTAGCAGAGACCGATTTGCTTTTGAGTCTTACTAGATTAAGTTCATTTTTGTGAATGATTTACTACTGTTGGCGCACATGCGGTGTACGGGTGTATTTGACCTTGGAAAGTCTTAGACCACTGGCTTATACAGCTTAGCAGCGTGTATGCCAATGTGGATGAGGCCGTAGCTGCGTTCGAGTTCTTTGGCACTTTCCGGCTCATGATTAAATTGACTCAGTGGCATCCTGACCATGATCCGAGTTCCTGGGCTACTCTTAGCTCACGCAATAGCATGTGATCTCAGATGAATAGACACACGTTTGTTGGTGTTCCAGAGAAGTGTATACACACCTCACATCCACAGTAATAAACAAGACATGCATTTTACGGGCAGTTTTTAATATGGAGATATTTGAGTCATCCACTGTATGTTCGTTTACGTACGACATGCAACGCTCGACCTAAAGTGTAACGGGAGTTTATAAAACTCACCCCAATGGACTTAGTAAACAAGGCAGCAAATTGAACAGAAGGTGGGAACAGTTTTAAAAGAGAATAGTCCATAAAAAAAGGGATTTAAGGGTACCAAAATAGGCGAGGTGTTTTCCATGGTGCAACAAATCGATGAGAGCCACTGATACAGTGGACTGTTAAATATTTCTGGGTGTACTAAAGCGCCCTTGGGAACACTTGAGACAGGTGACATTTCGGTCAACTCATCAATTCTAGAACAAGACACTTCCTAAAACATCTGCAGATAAGCAACGATTGTGACCAGTTTGTCATGGTAGCAAGTTAAGCCAAGCAGGTGAAAATTTGTCCCCCGATATTGTTAAGCTGACCCGATTCTTGAACAGCCGTTGACCGGATAGGTTCTGTTGCCAGCACGTTCAAAGCGGGCCGTCAATCGCCGTAAGAGTAGATGCTTTTGAACAGTCGTCGTTTGATTCAAGAGATTTTTCTTGGTCTAGCTGTTGCATAGTCAACTGTTGAAAAACAGTGGTTACTTTACAAAACGTTTCCCAGACTTGGTGGTCGAAGGCAAGTTTGTTATAATGGACAACACGATCACCAAGTGAAACTCTTGGGCCAACAATATTTTATTCCGTATCAGATCCTCAGAGTTAAACTGGTAATTACCCAGGCGTGGGTTATGAGTGGTTTTACGAGTAATAACTGCATGGCCAATGTAGTTTATCCTGGGAAGCAATCCAAGGTGTACTTCATCTTGTTCGGAACTCATCAATCGTAACCGTGGGCTTCATTTGTTTGATGGTCAGGTTCAAATTTTGCGCTGTAAACCCCAACACCGAGTGGATCTCGTGTTCTAGTACGGTATATACCAAATTCAGGTGGGTTTGGCGGTGAGGTCGATACCAAAAAAATATTTCAACACCGTTATCTAGTGAAGTTCTACGTCTTTGACAGACCTCATGTTACTAATTTATTGCGATTATATATTTGGGTGAATGGTTGTCACCTCCATTTGTGTAAGGTGGTTTCGTTTCCATTAATGAAACCTGCGTACAAAGTCCAAGCGTACGTCGTATCCAAACCTCCAGTTCATCCCCTCGTAGCAATACCGGGTAGTACATGTTCTGCGGTGAATCAGTGAAGCACCAAATTAACTTGACCTGGTGGTCGAATGGTCAACTGGCGTTACCCGCACGAAGAATTGTGTCTTTGGCCAAGCGTGGGACGGTAAAATTGGAAGGTTTAGGTTTTTTCTGCCTAGAATACAGAGATTATCTCCCTCTTCACTTTGTCACTACTTTCTACCCATCTCTAATCTAGGTGAGCATGATCATTCAAACAATTTGTCTCATGAAATTTCGTTAGTTATGACGAGAAAAATAAGTTCCCGTTCTGTATAATCATGCACACAGTCCAGTTAAAAACACAAAATAATTAGGTATCTGAAGTACAGCTGGAAACTTGCGGAGGCCAGGACAGAGCTGATGTATTAGCCAAGAGGAACGATCACATAAAACAAGCTTTGTTAGCTGATTTCCTTGTTCTCATAAAATGAATACCTGGATTTCCGAATAAAAGCGTCTTCAGTAATCTTTGAACGGTCACTTATAAACAAGAGATTTAGCCGGATTTCAGATGCAACCCCGTTACCTTGACCAAGTTTTCAGACGAGGCCATTTCCCTCATTTGGTACAAATCGTTGAATCCACAAAAGCTAATGATGATGAAAACCCAGGGACTTCATCTACCTAATAAGCCCGATAGTCGGCTGTCGAAAAGATTTCATAACTTTCGCAGTAAAAGTACCTAATGTTATTCCAGTCGGAACACTGGGCGATTTTTGTGCAGTAAATTCCGTGGAAAATGGAAGACTGACTGACTGTGACGGACGGTATTAAGATTCAAATGCTCACCAAATCGTTGATCGTGTGTTCAACCGTTTCACAGCAAAGAAGAGTTCTTGCTACCTGAAGACATGCTTGTGAGAATAGGCTTTTGGCGGTTCTTTTACAGTCGGCCGCCTTCGGGTGCAGCAAGTCAATGATGCCTGAACCCAGCTAGCTAGGGTGTGCCATTGTCTAATTGGGCAAGAAAGCTGACCGATTCGGATCGGATTGTACGATGACTGTTATACCCTTATAGACATCCACAGAGTGAAACGGCAAAGATTGGAATAAATGGAGCCATTTTTAAGCCCGATAGCTATCGACGACCTGATTGATCTATCACTGGAAATGAGGTGAGCAGTATTCCCCAGAAATTACGCCGACAATAATCACACAAGCAACTAGTATGGTTATTCCTTCCAATGAATTTGGATGTCCCAACCCAGTGTACGCAGTCAAAAAGAGTGGGACATGTCACGTGTCCCAACAAGGATACCCGAGTGGGAACTGATCGATCGCTTAAAGAAGGTCGGTTACTCCAAATGGCCAGTGAAGCTGCAAGAAAAGTACCATAATCAGCGCTTTCCTAACCTGGCACCAAGCCACCGGAGAAAATACCATTTAGGCAAAAGCAAGTTGGTTTCTACTGAAGACAGTGAAATTACAAGACATAATGCCTTCATCGGGGCACATTTCTTGTTGCGGTTCCCATGCTGTGCAATCAGATTTGAGCTAGCATGCTCCTTAAAAAGGGTCCGCTTCTACTGTTTGTTTTCAATCTTTTATAAACTGTTATTAGTTCTTATTAGTTAGTTATTGTTAAAGCTTTGCTTCAAAACGGTTGGCAGGAGAGAACAAATGTGATATTTTGCTTGCAATGGTCTACAGTGCGGGACAATGTGAATAAGCCAGTAGAATTTGTTTATGATACGAAAAAATGTATCCTTCTGGAAGGCACTTTGAAGGTCCCAATCTCTCACAGGCACCATCATCGTCGGTCAACATACTTGATTTTCTAAGACTGATGTTTCGTTCTGTAATTGAAGGCAACCTATGCTGAGAAGCCACGGCCTTTCGGCTAATAGTTGGAACACTTAAACATTCAGTCAAGATGAGTTTCTCGGTTGTAGGTTGACTTCACTAGCAGAACAAAATCTCCATTAAAAATTCTAACACCTCATTACAGACCATCAGCTTCGAAGCTGCATTTGACTATAATAATATATATATAATA